ACCATGAAGTTGCTCATGTGAAACCTGATCATAAGATTGTATATCAATGATACCTTAATTCTTAAAAAATTACAGTCCCATAGTCCAATATTGCTCCGTATTTTGCCCAGCTCTTGGAATGTTATCAATCTCTGCATAACAAGTTAACCACAAAATCTAGCAGCTTATGATGAATGACGCAGCTTTCCCATCTTTCCGTGGGTCAGGGATCTGGGAGCAGCTGAGCCGGACAGTTCTGGCTTGGGGTCTCACTGGCTGCAGTTGATCTGTGGGCTGAAGGTCCACGTCTAACCCCCTCCTGTGCCCTGGGTGGGGTCTGGCTCCTCCTGAGTGGCCCTTTGTGGCTGCTTTAGCCTTCTCCCTGCTCCCGCTTGTGAGCCCCTGCCCAATGGAGCGGCAAGGCCCTGCATACCTGTGGGTAAACTTGTAATATTTCCAGAATATCTCGCCTGGCTTTAGTGCATCTGCATATCAACAGGTGTTCCTCAGGGGTGGAGAGCTGTAGTTCATATCAATAGGTAATTACCTGGGTGACTGAGGACTTATCTGAACCTGAGAAGTTAGCGGAAGGTCTTGCTTGTTTCTGCCTGAGCAGGAAGGAGATGGCCCAGACTGCAGTTTGTAAGCAATAAATGGGATTTAAACTTTACTGCTCCCTTTGACTGATGTCAGTTTTAGAGGTATTTTGCCCCAGGATTTCCTCTCCCTTGAGTTACATCTGGCAGTAGTTGGCAGGATCTCTGAACCCAAAATCTGTCAAAATGGGTGCAACCTATGGGAGGGCTGCCCCTAGAGATGGTGGGGAGATGCCTGGAATCCCTCCTGTGGATGGTGGGGTGGCCCCAGTGGATGCAGCAGCAAAGGGTGCAGCTTCATTTGTTACTATCCCCCCAGCTGTGGGGCTTCCAATTTGGGAGCCCCTAGTGGGGAATTGGTCAAGGGTTAAGTACCTCCAAGAGGGGTGGGGCCTTCCCAGAACTGGGGAAACCCTGGAAGCTGCAGAATTAGTCCTCAGTGAGTTGGAAGAACGCGTGGAGACCTTAGGGTGCTGGGTAGCAGCTGGCATTGTAGGGTCTCTTTTCATCAAGATAGTGGAAAATGTTGTACAGGAGAAAGAGAGGATTATCGAGAGGGTTGGCGAGGAGAGAGAGGGACTCAGGCGGGAGAGAGACACACGTCAGCATCGCTGGGAGAGCTGGGCGATGACCTATGGGATGCTGTTAAAGAAGAGAGGCAGTTCCTGAAAAGGCAGCTCAGGCTCCTAGAAGATTCCCTAGCAGCAGCGAGGGGGGAGAGGGCAGGAAGAGCCGCGTTGCAGGAGGCAGTGGGGCGGGGGAAAGAGGGGTGCCTTCAGCCCCAGAGATGGAGGAGGAGCCGGGGAGGTGGAGGGAGAGAGGAGGGGGTGGGGCCACGGGCCGATCTGCTACCCAGGCCACAGCGAGGTACCATCCTCTCTGGTTTTAAAGTCCCGCCCAGCTGTAATTAAGAAAATAAAAATAAAACAACCGCGGGCTCCTCAGGGGGAGGAGCAGCCCCCTCCCCAGGTTGGGGAGCACTCTATGCCCCGTCCCCCACGCCCAGGAGGAGCTGGTGGACATGAGCGTCCAGTACAGGCAGAGGCCACTGGAATCTCTGCCTACATGGCTTTTACGTCTCTGGGATATGGGGGTGGAAAACATTGTTGTGTCGGGTACTGAGATGAGTAGAATGGCTTCCCTGACGACTCGCCCTTCCCTCCGGCAGCAGATGCAA